GCAGTTTTAGACATGGAGACTGCATGTGACACTTGTGTTAGTGGATGCACACTCTGGGCACACTGGATTGGGAAGGAATGTGTAAGTTCATGCTGGAGATGGGCATGGGGTAATTAGGTGGATCTTGTCCTTGGGGAGCAGGTTGGACTTCATCCCTGTCCGCATCATTCTTTCTCTCCTCACCACTGACCTGGAGTGGGGCCTTAGCTTCCCAGCTGCATCCCCTGGGGCCAGAGTCTGCTTGGAGTCTGAGGGTGCTGGCTGCTGCTCTCTTCTGTCCTCAGTCTCAGTTCTGACAGGGCCTTGATACAAGAACACTGCAGACTAGACCTGGAGCATGTGTATGTAGTTGTTATTCTCTTAGTTTTTCTTTCCTGTAAAAATGACCTGAAGCACATGTGGCAAAATGTCAAAAATGGTCTTTCAGGATGGTCAGGATGTTGTTTGTCTTGTCATTCTCGGCTCTTTCCTACATTTAAAAGCTTACCCTCACCTGGTCTTCCTTCTTGTGAAAAAGACTGCTTCTGGGGCTGGTGAGACTGGCCAGTGAGAGTCCCTGGACTTGGCCCTTTGTCTGCTCTTCTTCTTTAGTTAGTGGGTATTCAACTTTTGACCTCCTGTGTTAGTTTTTTTTTTTTTAATATCTATTTTAGTTGTAGATGGACACAATACATTTATCTATCTACCTATCTACCTGTCTACCTACCTGTCTACCTATCTTTCTATCTTTTTTATGGGATGCCAAGGATCCAACCCAGTGGCTCACTCATGCTAGGCAAGTGCTGTACCACTGAGCCACAACCCCAGGCCCATCCTGTGTCCGTTTTGATCAGGTTTTGTATTTTTCTTGACATGCTAGAAAGAGTAGATTGTCATTTAACTTATTGGCATACTTTGAGTATAAAATAAAACTTTCAGAAAAGTACTTTCAGTGGTCAGTGACAAGCAGTGCTGTGAAGGAAGCAAAGGTGGATCTTCTGGTGGCCACAGGCAAAATGGGAAGTGAGCAGCCCACAGTGGGTTTGGAGGAAGAAGGACAGAGCACAAAGAAGGGCAGCACAAGCAAGAGGACGAGTAGCGAGTAGAAGTAGACCTACAGAGGGCCCGGTCTTCACGGCGGTCGTGTTTAGTGGTCAGCCTTGAAAAGTAGCTTGCACCCGGGCTGTGCCTGATGGGCCTGAGTCCTGGCCCCATGACTTCTTGGTGGCGTGACCTATGCACATTCTGCAAGAAGTCAGAAATTAGTTTTTGTATAGAACATCTCCGAATGTGAACTTTTGTTGACTAATGATGGTCACTTTTGGCTGCAGCTGGATGTGTAGTCTGCTCCTTAGCTCACTGCTGGCCCCTTAGTGCTCACGTGGCAGTGCCCCCTGCTGCATTGTCGCGGACACCACACCTGGTGGTGCCCTCAGTGCACTCACTTGACTGGAGGCGTGAGCATCCAGAGGCAGTGACAGGAAAGTCTCTTATGTCAGCTCACGTTTTGCCAGTCTAGTTCCCATGATTCCTTTTCTAATTGCCTGAGTTTCAGCCTGGTCTCTTTTCCCTTCAATTTGAAGAACTTCCTGTAGCCTTGCTTTGTAATGCAGGTGCTGGTGACAGTTTCTTGGTTTGTACTTATCTCAAAATACATTTAGTTTTCATTCTGGGAGGATCTTTTTTCTGGATACAAAAATACTGATAATTTTCTCTTTCAGAACTTAAATACTATTCCATTGTTTCTGGCCTCTGTTTCTGATAGTTAAATGATCATGCATATCATCGTTCTGTATTTGTATTTAATGGGTCTTTTTATTTTTGGACTTTAGAAATTTTTCTCTCTCTCTGTGTGTGTGTGTGTGTGTGTGTGTATTGGGATTGAAACCAGGGGGCAGCTCTTTTATTTTTTATTCATTTATTTTCTTTTGAGACAGGATCTAAGTTCCTCCTGAGTTGCTGGGATTACAAGGCATGTACCAGCTGAATTTCTAGAATCTATAAATTCATGTTACCAAATTGAGGAAATTTTTTGGGTCTTTTTTTCTCAAAATATTTTTTTCTGCTTTGTTCTTTGTCTCTCCTTCTTGATAGACTCCAGACCTTTGATTTTGTTGCACAGAATGGTGAGATATTCTGTTCCTTTTTAATCCGTAGTGATTTTTTTGTTTTTTAGTCTAGATAGTTTTTATTGTTCTGTTTTCAAATTTCCTGACTTGTCATCTCCAGTGTGCTGTTAAGTCCATCCATTGACTTTTTTTAAAAAAAAATTTTATTGTAGATGAACACAATAACTTTATTTTGTTTATCTTTTTATGTGGTGTTGAGGAGCGAACCCAGTACCTCACACGTGCAAGGCAAGTGCTCTACCACTGCGCCACAACCCAGCCCCATCAGTATTTTGATTTTAGATACAGAATTTCTCATTTATAGAATTTCCATTTGGTATTTTTTCATAGTTTCTCTGCTGCAATTTTAATATTTTCATAACTGTATTTTTTCATTATGTCTCTGAGTTATAATGCTTTGAAATCCTTATCTATTACATTTCAAAAATACTGAATACTCCAAATAGGACCATTTTATGTTAGTTTTTGTTGTTTCCCTGTTTGTTCATATGTTTGGTAATTTTGGAGTGTATCCTGGATATTATGAATGATATACTATGGAAATTTTGGATTCTGCCATATTTCTCTTAAAAGTGCTTTTTGCTTTTTTTTTTTTTCTAGCAACTAGAATCCCCTTTCAGTTATTTCACGGACCTGACTGCTTGGAACCTGTCCCACACTAGTGTTGGCCTGGAGCTTGGGCAGAACTTGAGGTTTCCCTCTTTTATTTATAGTAGTCAGAACTGCTTCAAGCTCTTCTCAGACACAAAAGTAAAAGTTGGGAGGTTCTCCCCATCCTGTTTACTTTCTTTCAAGATTTGACCTGCATCCTTTTTCTTCCAGCTCTGGTGGTTTTTAGGGATGCAGAGTGGCTTTTACTTTCTGCCCAAGGCTTGTCCCTGCAGGACAGTTGGCCTGAGGCTCGAGCAGTTGACCCAGAACCTGGGTGTTACAACTTGGTACTTTCCTTCCCTTGTCCTTTGCCTCATTCTGTGGAGACAGCAGCAGTGATTGCTGCACATCAGGCTTTCTCTACCTTGGCACCATTGACATTTTGGGCCAGTTGATTTTGTTTGGGTTCTATCCTTTGCCTTATAGGATGTCTAGCAGCACCCTTGACCTCTGCCCAGTGACGGTCAGTAGCAGGCCTCAGTGGTGATAATCCAGAATGTTCCCCCGCAGGACTAAATGTCCCTGGGGAGTGCGGCCATCCCTACTGATAAACCTTGCTCTTCATACATGGGCTAATGCCCACATCCCACACGGGTAATGGAATCCAGATCACTCTGCATGGTTTGTTCTGGTGATGAAAAGATCACATGGACACAGAAGTACTTTTTTTCACAAAATGGGGGTCTGGGACTGCTCTTCGACCTTGGGGGCCCTTCCACACTGGAAAGCAAGAGATCAAGACATCGAGTGCTCCCAGAACCCCTATATTTATTAGGGAAAAGACATTTGATAGAATATTCCACCCAATAAGGCAGGGGATAATGTTTCAGAAGGGGGGTTGTCCAGTCCCCTTGGGTAATGTTCAACCCAGAGCTGAAGCACTTCCTTGCCGAGCGAAGGTAAGGGCCACTTGCTTCACACAGTGTGTGGTGTGCGATGCCAGTCCAATACCCCCATTACTCAAGGCTGAGGGGGTGCTTAGCACGTGCGCAGGGCAGCCCCCCCCCCCCCCCCCCCCCCCCCCCC